TGTAAGTGTAGACTAATACACTTTTCACAATATTTATCAGAGTATCTTGTTGTCTCACAATTATTGCATTCTCTTGGTTCACCCCATTTATTAGTTGCATTATCTAATTCAAACTGATAAATAAACCTTCCTCTACAAAATTCCTTTTCATTTTCTAATAGTACTTTGTTTTCTTTGACTAATTGTAAAAAATATCTTTTTAAATTTTCTCTGTCAGAAAAAGTTGAAAAAGCAGTATGAGCAATATCAACCATTTCATTACGAATTTTAAGTACTAAGTCTCTTCTGTCTTGTGTTAATAAATTAACGAAGGACATTTTAACTTTTAATATTTATTTTAAAAAAATATATTTTTTATTTGACAACATTTCTTTTTGTGGTATTTTGCAAATCTAAATGAATTCAAGTTTTTTTGTTTTCATATTCTTTAATATTATAGATGCTTTCATCTTCCTAATCTTTTTGACAGATTTAACAGATCTGTATGCAGTATCTCAATTTTCTTTAATTTATCCTACAGTAAAAATATCGAATATAGTGCGTTAGACTGGAATAAAAAAAGTAAATCTTAATGCAAAATTCACAACCAAAAAATCTTTTACATATAGCGAATTTTTTTTCAGATTGAGAGTCCGTTTTTTCCTTATTTTATTTAAAATATTTACAATACTGGATGTTCGTCGACTCAAGATTAAACACTTTCAGTGATTGATTTCGAATTCAATTAAAACTTTATATTATCATCCTCGTTATTTTTAAATAATAATGTAATCAATCGCCCGGGACTCAACAATACAATCAACTTCAAGAAGAATTTATTAAACCATTTAAAAAAATAAATTATTATAATCAATTCAATACTTAACTCAATTGTCGAGAATTTCATCACCTATATTTTCGCTTACCGCTGCGTGGGTGTCTTTCGAATGTTTTACGTTTATGGCCGAGTTTGAATTAACTTTCGAGCTATACTCATCGATTAATTGTAATCTTTTAGATTCAATATTTGTCAATTAAGTTATTTTACGAATTTACTTTGCTTACTGCCTCTTTCATGTGCCTAGGAAACTTCAGTAACACTTTATGGTGCAATAAATTGATGTGGCCCTTTTAGAAAATGACATGAGCTTTTCTAAAGTTCCTTTTTTATTTACTTTTACTTTTCTTTGACCGCTTAAAAGTTTAGTTAATTTGATCTCTTTACAAGACTCCCTAAACTACTTTTCTTTTAACAGTCATACGTTCACAACAATTGTTTTAACACAAATAACAATATATGATAACGAATTTATATTGGTTAATTCGATAACAAGCGTTAGCACTTTATATTTTGCCGAACAGTTTAATACTTTACGTTTACACTTAACACTTAAAACACTTACACTTTATAAAAACGTATACAATTAACAAAACTTAAAAATTAAACCTTGGCTTCTTTACTAAGAAAAAACCCTACTACCTGTTGTTAACAGTAGACTGGTTGATCAACATTAACTCGGAGTTCTATATCACTTTGATAACAAATTGATAATTAAACCCTGCAACCATGGTTTAATTTCTAACTGCAAAAGTCTTTTATTAAGCGAAAAAAAAGGATTATTTTAAATTGTGAAAATGTTTATTACAGAGCGGATTCTTTCTAAAGAAATAATTTGATACTAATTTCTGTCCCTATTCTTATGAGCACGACCCTGAAATATTAAATAATTAATATTAATTAATCGTCTGGAAAGATAGCACCACTAGATAAAGAGTGAGATGTTATTTTGTATTTATAAATCTTTTTGCTCCAATCTCAATTGAGAAATAGTTTATTTATGTGGATGGGTTGATTAGTTTTTGGGAATTGACAAAAGCAATAAGCAGATAAAATGCGACTTTTTTAATAAATCAACAAAAAAAAGGGTTTTTTATTCTAATGTTGATCAATTTAAAAAATTTTCAATGTTGAAAAAAAAACATTCAACAAAAAAATCTTTTAGACCACCACCATCTTTTACACCTACTACTACAATAGTAGATTTAAATGATAAATTATCAGATGAAGAATATGAAGATGATATTGAGTTAAATGCCAATGGTAAATAGCAATATACACACATATATATAAATGTATATATATACCGGTTTAGGTGTATAATGAAAGTTACTTAAAGCATCCAATTTATGACATAGGTTTTTAAACATATTTTCAATTTCTTTATGTTCTTTTGTCAATTCTGAATCTTTTTCGTTATCATTATTATTTTTATCGCCGTCATCTTTTTTAGTTTGTTTAACAAATTCTTCTTCATAAATTTCTGCCAAAGATTTCTTGGATTTTTCAACTGATAATTCCTCAGAATTTAAATGTGATGAGGGTAAAAATGGTCTGAATTTTGGATCTGATTTACGCTCTACATCATCAAATGTTTCCTAACAAAACATAATTAAAGGATCGGTGGATTGATGAATGATATGGATGGATGGATGGGTGGATGGATGATTAATAAAGAAAAACTTACATCTAATATTCTTCTCTTTATCATATCTTCAAGTTTCTCTATTACTTCTTCAGTTATCACTGGTATTGGCTATCATTATTTAATGTTACTTTAAAATTTTTCTTTCTTTCTATTTACCAATTAAAAAAGAAACCAACCTTAACAATATGATCAAATTCTAAATCCTCCTCTAATAAACTATTTATTGGTCTATCATTGGCTGACGCCTTTAATAAAAAACAGTATGATTTTTTTTGTATGCAAATAAAATATAAATTATAATGAAATATATTCAAATAATCCACAATCACAAATATATATATATATACATACTTCTCCAGTTAAAGTCCAATCTTTTTTTGCAACATTTTCAATTTCCATTTGCTTAATTTGATTTTGTATTTTATCATATTGTTTTTGAAATTTAGACTTTGGCTCTTCCTCCTCATCATCACTATTCTCTATAGCGAATAAATCATGTATTTTTGTATTTAATATTTTACTATTTTTATTTTTATTTTTATTTTTATTTTTATTTCTATTTTCATTTTCAATTCCTTTATCATCATCATCATCATCATCATCACGACTCTCATCTTCTTCTTCCTCATCATCACTCTCACCATTCCACAACATTGTCGTAGTTACAAAGATCAATCATTGTATAAGACGATCAATCCCTACACCACT